AAATACTGAGGGCTAGAAGTGTGGGGAGCGCGAGAGTTAAGGCAAAGGCGAGGGCAGAGCCAGAAGTACTCGACAGGTGGTCATTCATGATGAAAGAACCGAAGTACCTCGAAACTAGTCTCGTAACTTGAAGCCGAGTTTATGTGAAGCTGAGATGCACAATATACGGGGAACCAACAATGCCGGAGACATGGTCCTCCGACTGAGCGCATTCTTGAGCTAAAAGCGAAGATGACGAAGATAGCCTCGGAGTTGCTGCCCGCTGAATAAATAATCCTATAGCCGTATTCCGTTGTACTCGGTGTAGGCCTGCCATAGCACTTTGGAGCGTTTGAAGGCATGGATACCGCGTATTTGCGATCCCAATAAAACAGGCCATCGTCGTATTTACCGTAGTCGTCGTAGTGGAGTTTTTGGGAGTTTCGTGTGGCGTGGGGTGTGTTTGTCAGCACACGTTCGATCGATTACTGGTGGTGGTGAAATGGAAAAAAACGGGCGTCGATTCGTTCTCCCCACCCATGCGCTAGCGCTAGCATGCTCAACGGAACTAGTATCAAAATCTTCTCGGGCAAGCCTTCTTCTCTCTGCCCCACACCGAGCCAGCTGACCGACCCCAGGCACGAGCCACCCCGAGCTCGCGGAAATCATCGCCCGCCGGTAGGCTCTCGCTCTTTTTCCGCTGCTCGTGTGCCGGTCTACAGCCCGCCCCAGCATCGGCCTCCCGCTCTCCCAGGCAGAGATAACGAGAAACAACATCGGCGAGACGAGTGTCCGCATTGGAGGTGCGCTCGGTGCTCCGTTTCGTTGGTCCTGGCCCTTACCCTGTTGTTCTCCCAGAATCCGTGCGCGAGGACGATGTGTACATCGTCAACACGGGCTGTGGGGCGGTCAACACGGCGCTCATGGAGCTCTGCATCATGATCCACGCGTGCAAAATCGCCAGCGCGAAGCGCATCACCGCCGTCATCCCGCTCTTCCCGTACGCCCGTCAGGACAAAAAAGACAAGAGCCGCGCCCCAATCACCGCCAAGCTCGTAGCGAATATGCTCCAGCACTCGGGCTGCGACCATGTCATTGTGCGTCTGCGCTTTCCCTTGACATGCACGATTTTAAGCCCTGTTTTGCACGCAGACGATGGACCTGCACGCGTCCCAGATCCAGGGCTTCTTTGACGTCCCCGTCGACAAGTGCGTCGTCCTGTATTACTTGTTGAGTGCCGCGCTGATCTGAGACCTCCCAGTGTAAGAGCCGTCCTTCCTTTGCCCCTGTGTGGCGTTCGCCGTTCTAACGTCGTCCCGCAGCTCTACGCCGAGCCCTCGGTCATCCTCTACATCCGCACGCACTTTAACCTCGCCGACCTCGTCATCGTCTCCCCGGACGCGGGCGGCGCGAAGCGGTGCGTCCACTTCTTCCTCCCCTCCCTTTCTCCGTCTGACCGACTCCCAGCGCTACGTCCATGGCGGACCGACTGGGTGTCGACTTTGCGCTCTTCCACAAGGAGCGCAAAAAGGCGAACGAGGTCTCGCGCATGGTGCTCGTCGGGCACGTCGCGGGCAAAACCGCCGTGCTCGTCGACGACATGGCCGACACGTGCGGCACGCTCGTCCTCGCCGCCTCGCACCTCGCCGAAGCGGGCGCCGCGCGCGTCTGCGCCGTCGTCACGCACGGCATCCTCAGCGGCAACGCCCTCCGCGCGGTCGAGGAGAGCCACCTCGAGAAGCTCATCGTGACCAATACGCTCCCGCAGACGGCGAACCAGGCGCAGTGCAGCAAAATTGAGGTGATTGATGTGGGCGCGGTGCTCGGCGAGGTAATTAGAAGGAGTCACTACGGCGAGAGTGTGAGCAAGCTCTTCCATGAGGTGCCGTATTAGGAGGCGATCTACTTGGAATCTACGTGTATTTTATCCAGCTCTAGCTCTAGCTCTATTATGTCTGGGAAATGAATCGAAAAAAAACTCTAGAATCAATTCAGAGTTCGTCGACGTCGCGTCGCGTCAGCCGCGCCGTAGAATGTGACGAGGTGCGCGTGCATGAACTTGGGATCCAGCCGCGCTTTCGTGGCGTAGTAGTCGAGCAGACCATTGTAAGAAACTCTTGAAGCACGAAACCTCGTCGATTCAGAGTTCCAAAGTCACGTTAATACATGTATGCAATCGACGGCCTACTGTTGCTGCGGCCTTGCGACCGCGACCGCCGGCGGGCCCCTCCTGCGGCCCCCACCGCGCCTGCCGCCGCCGCCGTACCCGCCCCAGCCCCCGACATACGCACCGGGCCCCAACAGCCCCACGCCGCCTGGCTCACCAAACGTCGCGACGTTCCGCTCGCGCTCCTCCTCGCGCCGGTTGTACCCGTACCCACCCCGGCCACGCCCCCGCCCGCCGCCCGCACCGCGCCCGCCCTGGCCCTGGCCCTGCTGCCCGCTCTGCCCCTGGCCCTTAGGCGCAAACGGCGGCGGCGACGACAGCGAGTCGAAGAACGACTTTTGCGGGTTGTATGCCGCGCTCGTGCCCTCCTTGTCCTTGCGCGCCGCGCCCGCGTCCTCGTCGTCGCTCGGGTTTGTGCGGTCGCTGCCGCTGCTGCTGTCGGGCGCTGTGTGCGTCGCCGCGAGCGCGGCCTTGTCGAACTTTGCGTTCATGCTCGCAAAGTCAAAGTCCGCTGTGGGGACCGGCACACCGCCTGCGCTGGCGCCCGCGCCATCCTGGGCCGCAGGGCGCCGCGTGCGCTGCCGGCGCCCGCCGCCGCCGTTGGGATTGGCGCCGGCGTTGGAGACGCGGAGGTCGCCGAGCGCGCGCTCGACGGTCTCGAGGGACGCAGCGGCGGTGTGGATCGCGTTCTGCTGCGCCTGCGCCGCGACGGGGTGGTTGGGCCGGTGGCGCGGCGCGGGCGCGCGCGGCTGTTGCTGCTGCTGCTGCTGGTGTTGCTGGGCGACCTGCGGCGGCGGCGCGCGGGGCGGGAGCTGCTGGGCCGTCTGCTGGGCGTACGACGGCGGCACGGGCGGCGCGACGGGTGCGGGCCCCTGGGAGGCCTGGTGGGTGGGGTAAGTACACGGGGGTCAAAGAAGACAAAGAGGACTCGCCCCGAGGACGGCGGGGTCGTCATGCACGCTGCGGCGCGGGGCAGGCTGCTCGTCGACCGAGAGGTCCTTCACCTCGGACGCGCGGAAGATGATGTACTGGTACGGTTCCTGCACCGGGGGGATGTACTCCGCGACGGGCCTGCACACGGTCAACACGAGAAAAAGCGGGTGGCTTGCGTGCGACTGACCGACGGGACTCGGTGCCCATTGAAAACACTGCAAGGGAGTCAGGACAGGCGCGAAAGGAGGAAAAAGACACGGACCATTCGAGAGCTGAATGGTCGATGCCGCAGGGTCGATCCCCGCCAGAATGCCTCTGTAGCGCACATCTGAATGAGAAATAAGAGATATAGGTTTGCTACAGAGGTTGTTTGGGTGAGCAGAGGGCCGGGGGAGGGCGGCAGAGCATACCCAATGAAACTGAGAGCCATAGCGAGAAGAGAGTCGAATTCAAACTCCGACACCAAACACGCGCACAAGTTGCGCCCACCACAGAGAAAATCGTCTTTGTTCAGCGGCTTTCTGGAATAATATTTCTTTGAGCAAGTACGTGCCCTCGAGCTACCATGGCCCCCAATTCCGCATGCACAGCGCTGAACACCGGCATGGCCACGTGCCAGTAAGTCCCACGCCCAACGACGTGTTGGGACGCAACACGATATTTGAGGCGATGCTGGCGCCATGGAATGCATCCTCCAGAGGTTCATTACTTGTCTTACATCTTCCTTCATCCCAGGTATTTTTTTATCTGCTCAAAAACGCGGAGACACAATGGCGCGTGGTGTGCACGTCCCGGCTGTCGAGTTACATCGTGGATGGAGAGACAGGTGGCGATGTACCCGATGGTTGAGACTGAGTCGGGAACCTTGACAATTTTATGAGGCAAGAACAGTGGTTTTGACGGAATAACGACTTTGTTGGCAGTTAAGGGAGACCCTGCTGGCCAGCTGTATTGGAGAATTAAAACATGTAAGCAACTGCAGGTTCCAAGCAATATTGAGCTCTCCACGAGCTACTGCAGTAGTTTTATTGCTTTCGACGGGGAGAAAGACATGACTTGGTTCTATTCGATTGCTCTGGGCCTGGCCACGGGGCCTGGGCGGGTTGGTTGGATTTGGGACCGGATAACTTTTTCAGAGTCGTGCAGGTGCCAACCAAAAATTCTTCCAGTCAATTGGTTGGGGACAAGTTGAATGAACTGAAGACTGAACAATATTTGGGACGGGAGGAATCATCGCCGATCAAACCTGAGATTATGGGAATTCAGACATTTGGCTGTAAATGCACTAGTACACAAGGTACCATACTAGGAGGTCGATAAAAAGGCAAGGTATATCTGAAAGGTGTTTTGGATGTGCACCTGTGCATAAATGAGCTCTGGGATGTAAGTATGTTATGGAAAACACTCCAAGAAAGATAACATGACTGCTTCCGGATTGGTGTAGGGGTTAAAAATCCCACCACTTGATCTGATCTAGAGTCAAAATCTTTCTCTGCTTCCTCGCTCATCATCATCCCAAGTGCCATGACCGTATTCTCATCTGCAAGAACACAATGGACACTGAGCAGAATAAATTAAGGATATTGAACATTCATTTGCAAAATGGACTCGGATCGGTGCAGGGGTTAAAAATCACAACTATAAAGATAGATTGACTACCTTGGCTTCCTGTCCAACTTATCTCTCCATCCAAATTGCCTGAGCTGAATGAAGGCACTTCCACATAAAATGAACACTGGTAAGATTTGAGAAAGAACAATAAATATTATGGGCACTAGAGTGGTGTAGGGGTTAAACCATATATATAAGCAAGAATTCAAATCTTCATCCTTGGCTCCCCATCTCTTTACTGTCGGCGGTCATGAGTCAGATAAAAATTAGCCAACAAACCGATAAAAGAGATGCTCGTTACAAAACAATATTCCGGATCGGGGAATCGAACCCCGGGCTGCCGCGTTAACTTTACGTAAGGCAAGTTGATTACGTAAGCAATTTTGAGAGGCGGCAATGTTAACCCCTACACCAATCCGGAGTTATAAGAGATACATGATAATGCATCAGAACACGTAGATAAGAAGAGGTGCTGTGGTCCAAAATAATCCCCGTTTATTCATCTAAAATCCACTTGAATTGGGTTCTATCTTGCAGAAGAGCAGGAGGGTGTCAAAACCATGAGGACAAATGGCCTGGATCAGCCAAGGATGCAGAAAGACCGGAGCATTGGAGGGCTCTGGAGGGAAGCAAAGTCACACTGGAGATTGCCAAATTTAGGCACAGCCGAGGTGCTACTTGACCGCTAAAGTATCAAATTCGACACAAATTACACTGAAATCTAAGTTGGTTCAACTAGTTTCAGTCCGCAGATCAGCTTTGATTTCGGTGTGATTTATTCCGAAGTTGATACTTGGTGTTCAAGTAGCACCTCGGCTGTGTCTAAATTTGGCAATCTTGCCTGCGCACATCTGTACAGGGTGTTAAATCCTGAAGTCGAGATCGGAGGAATGATCCGTTGATCGGAAGGTTCCGGTGCCGGAGGTTGGATGGCAGAGCGGAAATTGCGGATCAATCGCAAACACCACAGGAAGATAAGGGTGTGCATACTACCTGGACTGGCGAGAGTAGGAGTCGTTCCGATGAAAGTCGGAACTCCGGAGGACAGAAGTTCAAGGAAAAATTCAGGACAAGACAAGTAGTCAAGAACATTAATAAACAAACTGAAGTTACATACAGGCATATGGAATATTTATACTATGTCATAATTATGTACGGCCGTAAAGTCCATTTCTATATAAGGCAATCAGAAATGGAAGAAGCCGCAAGTGAGGTATGCGGAGCGGTGAAGTCCGCTCGAGTTGAGTGCAATAAAATAGGAAGTTAAAAACGGGAAACACTCAGTAATCCTTCATTGCGTAAAAACCCAATTCGGGCGGCGTCCGAAGATCTGGATGCTGGAACCTCCCGAAGGTATGGAACATCCCGGAGGTGGCGGAGCACATCGGGAGTTCAGGACGTACGGATATAACACAGGGTGGAAATGGCGAGCATAGGTGTGTGCCCCGGCAAGTTTGCCAAGTTTAGGCACAGCCGAGGTGCTACTCAAACGCCAAAATATCAACTTCAGAATAAATCACACTGAAATCAAAGCTGATCCACGGACTGAAACTACTTGAATCAGCTTAGATTCCAGTGTGATTTTTCTAATTCGACTCTTTGGCATTCGAGTAGCACCTCAGCTTTGCCTAAATTCGGCAATCTCCAGTGTGAAGTTGAAGTACGAAAAGACGTCAGAAGGTCTAAATATAACTCCGGAGTCAAGGCAAAGGTGAAGAAGAAGGAGTGACTCAGTCCATGAGTGGAAGCATGGAACAACATTAATTTTCCAGATAATTGTTAAATCCTGAGTAGAAGCTGGAATGATTTCCGAGGTTTGGGCATTGGCCAAAGGTTCGGAAAGTCTGAAAGATTCAGATTGATAGCAGAAATATAAAGGTGTGCATACTACATGGACTGGCGAGAAGTGTTAGGCACCAAAAGGGAAGCGCCCTCGGCGCCTCCCTACCTCTCTATTATTATACGGTTACATAACCTATTTACATCTATTTATGTCTTGTAGTATATAAGGGACGAGGCACGTGAGTGGGGGTATCTTTTACACACCCACTTGCTACGCTCGCCCCTTCTGCACAATACAGAATTTGGACCAGCTTAGCTTTGGTGTTCAAGTAAGAGACTCAACTCAAACCCCACACTAACACTTTTTTAAGCTCCAACGCTCCTAACGGAGCATCTCTATATTTTCCCTAAAAATATATACTACCTCGCACTCTGCCATGTCAACCAGCGGAGAGCAGCAAAATGTCGCTGAGGGCCCCTCGGCGACTGGCACAACACACTTCTCTGTGCCGCCTGGCCCTGGGACTGGTCCCTTGGCACCCCCTCGCCCTGCCAGTGATGTGGCAGGTAGCTTTAGTCAGCGACCACCCTCTGCGCCCTCGCGCAGTGGAACCGCTACTCCTCAGACACCCCCCATGCGATTCACATCACATACCGATGCTGAAGGCCGAGCCTTCATGCAAGACCAAGACGGCAATCGATTTGACATTGTTCCCCAAGGTAACGATGACGGGCGATCTCAGTCGTCTCGAAGCGAAGGCTGCCCAGGCGTCCCCGCTCACCACTCTGCACTGTTCGGATCCAGTTCTGATCGTGGAGAACCTAGCACAGAATCTGTGCTATCAGACTCGACGCCAGTGGAGGGAACCGCCGAAAGTTACCCGCCGCTCGAGCTCGACATCGACCCAGACATGCTGGATGCTCCCAACTTGCACAGTTGAATGCGATACGGGGCCACATGGGCACGCTGGGCGCCCGCCTGGCGGCAACCACGGCGATTGTGGCCGAGCACCAAGCGGCCATGAAGGATATGCAGGACACGATTCAGGCATTGCGTGTCAAAGTACTATCTCGCGTAGACTCATTACGGAATGATGTCAATTCACAACGATCGAGACTGAATCGATGTTTGGACGATAATCTAAGGATATTACAGCTAGTTGCGGAACTTAGGGCGCGGCCCATTTTTTTTATTTTTATAGATGTTTGGGATATTTCAGCTCTACTGAGCTCAGTTCTTCACCGATTCCCTTGAAACTATGATCAATAGATTTGCCTTGCGATTCTGGAGGGAGTGACGTTCGAAAATACGTTAGAAGCGTGGGAATTGCCTTTTTCAGCAAATTGTGAGGCATCTTCTCCTATCAGCTCTAGCATTAAATATACTGATCCGATAGACTTAGTTTTTGGATATATCATACTTATATGCATTACCTAGGATGTGTCGTGCCCAGATAAGGATTAAAATGTTTTGTTCACATCTGGCATGGGACTTAAAACTGATTGAAATTGAATACAGTAAGGCTTTTGAATAATGAGGTATTTTGACGATCTGGGCACGACACATCCTAGGTAATGCATATAGGTATGATATATCCAAAAACTAAGTCAATCGGATCAGTATATTTAATGCTAGAGCTGATAGGAGAAGATGCCTCACAATTTGCCGAAAAAGGCAATTCCCACGCTTCTAACGTATTTTCGAGCGTCACTCCCTCCGGAATCGCAAGGTAAATCTATTGAGCATAGTTTCAAGGGAATCGGTGAAGAACTGAGCTCAGTAGAGCTGAAATATCCGAAACATCCAAAAAAAAAAAAAATGGGCCGCGCCCTAAGTTCCGCAACTAGCTGTAAAAGAGGCTGGAGCCTCCGGTTCGCAAATCCAGGAAATACTACTCACTATGGGTCGTAACGGTGGTGTACACCGGCGCGACCGTGAGGCGCCCGCCACCATGGACCACCCTTCGGTAGCACTGAAATTGTCCATACCCAATGAAGCCAAAGCGGCAGTTGACGCCGTGATTCCCCCGCGAAATGCCACCGAGAGTCAGGAGGAGTTTGACGCTCGTGCTTCCGCCACGCTCCGCACCAAGGATAACGCTCATGTAGCGTTTCCTTTACCCAAGCCCACAGCAGTGGGCACTGCGTCCACAGCAGGCTGTGTTATATCCGTTCCGGACACAACCCAGAACCAGAGTCTGGACTCACTCCATCTGGGGATTCCATCATCAAACCCCACTTTGTGATCCTATTGTCTCACTCATCTTCCACATGGTTCTGACCCACCTCATGATCCTATTTGACCCCACCTCAAAATCCTATCTGACCCCACTTCATGATCCTATTGTTTGATTCCACATGGTTCACTGACTCAACCGCATGGTTCGCTGGCTATTGCATGACGAACTTGGTTACAGTTGCTACCTCTGTTACAAACCACGATTCTTATGACCAATACTGCTTACAGTCGTAGTAGTATATATACAGCCTAGTTTCCATCTTGTACTTCAGTTTGGAAATCAATTGTTATAGTACTCTTTCCTTGAGCACTACCTGGGTCTTCCCTTCAAGTCAACTCACTCATTCATCTGGCCCTTCGCTTCACTTCATCTCCCTCATGTTGCGGTCCGCAAGCCGGGTAGTCGCACACTCTCTGTAGTGCCTGCGAGACGACCGTTGTAGCCCCCTCAGACCTCCGTCCTTCCTCCCTTCGGAGTCCCGAGCGCCCACGCGACTCAGCATTTAACAGGCTGAGCCTAAAGTCACCCGCTTTCTGCCTGTCGCAGACGAATACCAGTCAGTAGGCAGCGCATCGAGAGCCATGACTCACAGTGATATCACCTGGATAAAGGGCAATCAGTTCCTGGCTCGACAACAAGCTCGAGACCGCCTCAGTACGGGCGCGGTTCCAATTCCGCTCCATGATTCGACATCCGCATATGTTTCTGGCATGGGAGAAAACTCCCGGGACGCACTGGCAGATTTCGCGGACGAGTCCGCGGCCAAAATCCGCCACACCATCGAGAGCAAAGTCGGGACGCTCATTGAGTTACTGCCAGGCGTGCGTGCGCCTAAAGTAACGGACCCACCTAAATATAGGGGGCAGGACGACCACAACTTTTTCCTTATCGGGTTCCTTGAGAAGGTACTCACGTGGATGCGCGCCGGGACGTACTCAGGTCCTGAACTCGACTGGTGCGAGTAGTACTGATTCAAAACTATCTGGAAGGAGAGGCACACCGGTGGTACGTTACTGCAATCAATGCCTATTCGGACAAGAACGGTGGAGAATCACCCGCATTCGCGGATGTGATATGCGCCATGCACCGCCGCTTCGTTAAGTCGTCCACAGCGCAATGCGCTACCCGCGCATTCAACGAGGTCCACTGGGATCCTATTGCGGGCCCAGAGCAACTCTACTCTGACCTGCTCGACAAGGGACGGCGCATGATGAAAATGCCTGATGAGTTCGTTATCAAAAGCCGATTCATGGCCTTGATTCCCCGATGGATGCATAAAGAATTGAGAATGAGACGAGGGATCACTGTGGAGTTTACCGCATTGGAAGTCCTGCGTACCCATGCTCACCAAATCTGGGAAGCTGACGAGGGGATACGAGATGAGGAGCACTCATCTGCC